TCTAGAAGAAACAGTGGGGTCTTTGAGAGGGCTTTCATTACACATATACAGCTTTTGCTTTTTTGGGGGGGTGCTGGGAATTGAACATGGGCCTTAACATGTGCTAGGCAAATGTTCTATGGCTGAGTTTGATACTCAGCAGTCACATGTACCTCTTGAAAGACTAGTTGGGCTAATCTAAATGTGCTGGAATTTTCTCACCCCTAGATGTATTTTTATTTGTTTTGATACAGAGTCTCACTGTGTAGTTCAGTCTGGCCTTGAACTCTCACTGTGAAATCCTCCTGCCTCAGCCTCCCAAGTGCTGGGGTTACACTTGTGTGCTGCTGCAGCTGACCCTAGATGTGTTTTTAACAAAAGTCAGGTTGCGTTGTAGCTCAGTGGAAGAGTAAGCTGGCCTAACACTGACAAGGCCCTGGATGCTGTCCCCCAGTCCCACCAAAACAAAACTAAACAAAACAAAAGAATTCACAGACTATCTCTGTCACCATAAGAATTTATGGCTTTTAAATTGGGGCATGGTGTGCACCTATAAATCCCAGCACTCTGGCTGAGGAAGGAGGACATCCAGGTTTGAAGCCAGCCTGAACTGCATAGTAAGATCCTGTCTTAAAAACAACAACAAAAAATGTCTGGTTTTCATTAGGGCAAAATCATAAAAAGGATCCCGAATGGTGAGAAAGTGATCCCCACTGAGCTATGAACATAGGATCTGACCAAACATGAATCAAAAATCAGTTCCAAATTTTACTAGGCATGGTGGCACCCACCTATACTTCCAGCACTTGGGAGGCTGAAACTGGAAGATATCCAGGAGATCAAAGCCAGTCTGAACAACACAGTGAGACCCTGGTTTAAAAAAATAATTCTTAGTAACTCTGGAATGAGTAATAAAGGGGAATAAGCTGGGTGTAATGGATTACAGGTGTGCACCACCACACCGGGCTCCTTATGTGTCATCTTGTGAGCCTAACTGGCTACTCTGAAAAGTAGGGTAAAAGTAGGTACCTTATTTTGCAGATGAGGCCTAGGAAACCAAAAAGGAAGGTGAAATGGATGTGAGGTTTTGAGCTGTGATGTATGGGGGAGTGGAGTGGGGCACTGGGTACTTTCTGGGCAGAAGTAGGGGAGAACCTAACCAAGAACCTGCCCCCACAGGCAGAAGAGCGCCACAAGGCAGGCCGCTTCGTGGAGGCAGCGCACTGGGGAGCCCAGTCATGGAGGCTCATCTTGGCCAGTTTTGCCTTCTGGCTTGCTGTCCTCCTCCTGTGCCCTGGGCTACTGTGGCTGCTTTCCTATGCCATCTCTCAGGCTGAGGGATAGCCAGGATGTGCTGGATCCAGTAGTGCAACATTGCTAAATTCTGGTGACAACAGAAGGAGGGGGCTCTCTCAAGGGCCTGGGGAGGGGTGATCATCTCTTTTTCAGTGACCGCCACCTTCTGTATACCCTGCTCTGCTCTTATCCTAGGGGCCGAGGAGGGATTGAAGACCAAGCTTAATTTTATTAGGATCTGTTTTGTAATAAAAGCCTCTTTTGGTGTTGCAATGCTCCTGCCTAATTATTCTCTCTCTGTTCTCCCTTGGGCCTTTGGTGAGAGCAGCTGGACATGTGACTGATGGCTGGGCCTGCAGCTCCTCTCTGGCCTCACTTAGGAGCTCCAGGAGAGGAAGTTTCCCTTCTTGGAAAGACCTCACAGCTTTTCACATCAGAAACCCTGAGGCTGGAGAGGAAGTGTAGCAGAAACTACTATTTACTTGAGTACTTATGCCAGGCTGTATTCAAGTTATATTTTTTCTTCATAATGATTCAGTGGTAGTTTTTTTTTGTTTTTTTTTTTTTTGGTGCTGGGGATTGGTGAGACCTTGTGCTTGCGAGGCAGGTGGCAGACCACTGAGCTAAATCCCTGGCCCTTTGCTGCCCCTCCCCACCTTACAGTCTTTCTGTATAGTTCAGGCTGACCTTGAACTCACTATGTAACCTAGGCTGACATCGAACTTGTGATCCTCTTTCCTCTGCCTCCTAAATGCTAGGATTACAGGTGTGTGCCACACACCCAGCAGGTTCTTCTTTTACAGTTGAGAAAATGGGCACAGACTTGCCTATAGTGCTTTAGTTCTCCATGGCAGAACTGGATTGAGTCCAGAAAATTTGGTCCCAGAGTTGACAGAAGTAAAAGGATTGGGTAATGGTAACAACTATCCTGTATATGGACATTTATTTGTATGATTATGTGAATTTTCATATATATAATCTTGGGCTACATCATATTTTAAATAATTTTTTAATGTGTGAAGTATGTCACATAGGAAAGTACCCAAGCAATGCAGCTCAAATTAATATCTAACAAACATCTGAATAGCCAGCCATCAAGAAACTGATCATTGCCACCACTCTGAGCTGCTCTCCTACCCTCCCCAATCACTTTTTCCTTTCTTCCCACAGGTGGTCATTCTGACAGTGTAATGTAGTTCTGCATTTGAACTTTTTACAGAATCTTTTGTTTTTCATGGTGCTGAAGATCAAGCCTACACCCTCTCACCTGCCAGGAAAGTGCTCTACCACTGAACTACACCTTCAGCTTGCATATGTACTCTTTTATTTTGAAGTAGGGTTTCACTGAATCACCAATTTGCCCAAAATGGGATTGAATGTATAATCCGCCTGCCTCAGTCTTCCAGAGCGTTGGAATTACAGGCATGTGCTACCATGCTCAGCTTTAGATATTGGTGTACATGTGCCCTGGGAATGGAATTTTTGGGTCACCTCACCATAATTTAGCAGTGCACCTCAAGGAATTAGAATTGTGTATGCTGAAGAGAGGATTTAGAGGCACATGGTGGCTGTTTTCGGTGTTCCAAAGTGCTCTGGAAAGGAAAAGTACTGCGGATTGACCAGGGTCTTGTGCATGCGAGGCCAGTGCTCTACATTGATTGAGTTGCCCAGGCTGATACTGAACTTGGCAATGCTCTTGCTTCAGCTTTCCAAGGTCTGGTATTACAGGTATGCACCACCACAGCTGGCTTGATAACATTTTCTCTAGCAATGCCTTTTCTGTTTAGGTTCTGTTTGAGAATCCTTACTGAACGTAGCTGTCATTTCTTTTTTTTGCACTGGGGATCAAACTTGGGACCTTGAGCTTTTGAAGCAGGCAACATAACCACTGAACTAAATTCCTGGCCCAGCTGTCATTTCTCTAGTCTGCTTCAAGTTTTGGATGGATAGTTACTCATCCTTTTTTTATCTCATGATGGTTTTTTGTTTTGTTTTGTTTTTTGGGGACAGAGTCCCACTATGTAGTTGAAACTGCCCTGGAACTTACTATGTAGCCCAGGCTGGTCTTGAACTCACAGTGATCCTCCTCCTTCAAAGTGCTGGGATTACAGGCATGCACCACCATGCCCAGCTCTCACCAATGATTATGCCTACTGATTTTGTTGAAATCACTTAGTACCATGAGGTTTGCAAAATGTTGACACTGCCCACTGCCCCCAGGAACTGGAGATTAAATCTATCACCAAGCAATAGCTCCAGCTTTTTTTTTACTTTTGTTTTGAGACATGGTCTCAATTTGTTTATGCTGGCCTTGAACTTGGAATCTTCTTACCTCAGCCTCCCAAGTAACTCATTCTTTCTACATTTCTACTATAAAGAAAACTTGGGCGTGGGGATGTGGCTCAGTGGTAGAGCGCTCTCTATCATGCTCAAGGCCCTGGGTTCACTCCCCAGCACACTTTCACTTAGTTATAATTCTGAGTTTCTTTTTCAGTTCAGTTACGTAGATTACTGTCATTACCTTAAAATATGTTCTGTTTAAGCTAGGAATGGTGTGGTGCATGCCTGTAATCTCAGCACGCTTGAAGGTTGAATCAGATCATAAGTTTGAGCCTAGCTTGGACAATTTAGCAAGACATTTCAAAATTTAAAAATGTACTTAGGTAGTAGTCTAGTGTAAAAAGACCCTGGGTTCTGGGTTCAGTTCCCAATTCTAAAAAACAAAAACGTCCTTCTGAGGTGTAATTTATACAGACTTTAAGTATGCAGTTTTGACGAATGTTTTTATGTATACCTGGGCAGTCACTACCTAGGCAAAGAGAACTTCTGGAGCACATCAGAAAACTCTTGATGAGTGAAAACCCCTCAAACCTGGTTCCTGTTCTCTTTGATAAGTCGTCTTCATTTGTTCATTTTTTTTTTCATTCATTCTTTACTCTCAGCACTAATTGCTCCAGACTCATCTGTACTTTCCCTTCTGCAGCCTGGGTGTTGCCCATTTGTCCTGAGTGCCATGGTTTCTTTTATTGGGGATTATTACTTATAGGTTGGTATCTAAGTAGTAAGTGTGTTCATTCTTACCGGTCCTTTCAGAGTTCAGAGCTAGGAAATAGTAGAATTATATTCATTTTAAATCTATTTTTAATCATATCTCCAATTTCAATCAATCATAGGGTCCTCCTTTTCCTGTTCCAGATTCTATATTCTTACAGTAAGAACCTTGATTTCCAACTATATTAATATTTTTAGTTTCCTCTATTTTAGGATAATTACCCCATTATACTACCAAACAAAACTTCAAAAATTTTTTTGCAGTTCTTGTCTTTATATTAATATAAAGCCAAAGTAGTCCATAAAAAGTTACTTGGATTCATTTTTCTCACTTTATATGATTGTGATCCCAACGGAACATTTCTGAGATAGTAGCTGTTGGAATACTGGTTCACGCTTCCTCTTTTGCTGGTACTGCTGTCAATCCGGAGCTTGGGTCTTAGACACTCAACAAATATTTGTTGTATGATCAAGGTGAATGACAGGGCTAAACTGTTGGTTTTGTTTGGGACTGGGAATCGAACTCGGGTCCTTGGGCTTGCAAGGCGGGCGGCAGAACCTCTAAGCTAAATCCTCGGCCCTAGGGCTGAACTGATTTTGAAATTTCTCCTGTGAATTTTAAAATCTGGTGGGTTTAGAGCTGGTTGAAGCTAATACAGTCCCAAGGCTTTGGGGTGTGGGTGTGGAAACGATTCAAGAGAAGTCGGCGACTACAGGACAGGAGGCTGCTTCTGGCCGTATAAATCCGTACCGCGGTGCTGAGCGTGCCCCACGCCGCATGCGTCCAAGAGAGGCTTTTTGGACCAGGCTGCTAAAAAAAGACTCCAGTTCAGATAGAGACGGGGCCCTATCCAAATCCGGAAACTAAATATTAAAGGAAGTCCCACGTCCTGGCATTCACGCTTCCGAGTAAACCTAACTTCTGGACTCAATTCTAAACCTACAACACCTTTCGCAGGGTCTGTGGTAGGTAACATACGTTGATTGGTTGTACCTGAAGGTTCATCCTATGGTCGTGGGTTTTGATAACTTCGGCTTCCTATTGGGCCATTTGTCTCCAATCGGAAGGGTTTCTGAACATCAATCTTCCGGCGGAGCAGACCATTGGTTGAAAGGATAGGGGCGGATCCGTAGGTTTTCGGAGCAGCCAGAAGTAAAGCAAGGGACTGAAAAGCAAACCCGGCGGCTCCCTCGAGGCCTCGCATCAAAACCCTAAACCCGGACCGCCTGATCCGGTGGGTGAGCTGCACGAGCCCCCGCACCTCCCCCTCCCCCGTTCTGCCAAGTGCGCCTGCGCGGCAATAGCCGCTTGCCCTTGTGCCACTTTTCCTTTTTTCCTGACCGCCTTTTCCTTACCCCTCTCCCGCCCCTCCCTACCCTGTCGCCCCTTCTCCTCCTAAGCCCTTCCGTGGGGTCTCTCCCAGTCCCGATCCTTCCCCTGCCCCGTTCCCGTCCCCCAGGATCCTGGCGCCCCAGCCACAGGGTTTGCATCTCTGGCATCCGCGATGTGTGTCTCAGACCCTTTGGGCCTCCCTGCCCTCACTGCCCTCCGTTTCCTCCTCACAGGCCCCCACCTCGCTCAGAATGACACTGGATGTGGGGCCGGAGGATGAGCTGCCCGACTGGGCCGCGGCCAAGGAGTTTTACCAGAAGTACGACCCTAAGGACGTCATTGGAAGGTGAGGCTGCAGCCAGGGAAAGGAGCTCCGGAGAGGTTGGGTCCTGGCTAGTATACGCGGTTACATCTAAGGGCTGGATAGATGGGAAAGGTCTGTGGTCCATGGAGAACCTTTGGTGACTGACTAGACTCGTATTTTGGGTTGACCCCTGTTTTCCTGCAAATTCATTCATTTATATATTCAAGGAAGAGGGTTGAAGCACCAACTGTGTGCCAGAAACAAAGGTCCAAGTGGGGAAGGTAGAAAAGATGTCTGTGCCCTCGAGGTACTCCAGGTGAACTGACTGAAAAAGGGATCAGACTAGACATAGCGATCTATATGACAAATTCAGATGTCCTGGAAAACCACAGCTTCCGCTTCCCAGAAGCTTTGATCTTTAGGCTGGGTTTTCAAGTATTAATAGGGTTTCAGGATATAGAGAATAGAAGGAAGGTTCACTTGCATAGTCTGTGGCAGATATATTTATTCATCAAAGGTTTCCTAAACACACACACTCTATACTGGACATGTTACACCCTGTTAGTGAGGGTTGGCAGAAACTTACAAGATTTCTGTCCTTCTGGAGTTTACATGCTAATAATAGAGACAATAAGCAAAAACAAGATGTACTAAGGAGAAAATAAGTCAGAAAATAATAATGAAGACAGGGAAGCCTGGGAAACTTCTGAAGAAACCAGGTTTCTTGGGGAATCAAACCCAGGGCCTTGTGTGGCAAGCACTTGTGTTGACAAGCACTATACCACTGAGCTATACCTCATGCCCAAATAAGTAAGTTTTGAGGTGAGATTTGAATGGTGAGAATGACTGGGTCATGAGCTGAGGCAAGATATACTGTATTCTCAGGAGGGAAAAGTAAGCACAGAGCCTCAAGACAGTGGCTAGAATCCACTAAGAGTGGGAAAAGGTGAGAGAAATTAACTTGGAGAAGTGAATAGGGGTTAGATTTTATAGGCCCTGAGGCCACGATAAGGAATTTGAATTTTCTTGTAGTAAAAACGGATTATTTCAAACATGGTAGTAACATGATGTGATATATATTTATATATCTGTGATTTGGGAACATGGAACTTAAATCTTTCTGTGCCTGAGTTAACTGTCAATAAAAATAGAACCTACCTTATAGGTTGCTGTGAGGATGGAATGACTTAATGATACCTTTAGAACACTTCTCGTACTGAGTACTCTGTACGTGGGTATATAGGTATTCTTATTACTTTTTTTTTTTTTTGTACTGGGGGTTGAACCCAGGGCTGCTTTTTTTTTTGTTTCAAGATAGGGTCTTGCTAAATGCCTCCCAGAGTGATGGGATTGCTGACATGTACCACCATACCAGGCTTCTTAATACATTTTTTTAAAAAAAGATCTTTCTTTTTGGGTATGTAGAGAGTGGACAGGCAAGGGGCAAGAACGAAAGCTTAGAGCTGAGCCAAGAATCTTGATTTCTTGAGCTGAACGAGAACTATAAATTTGGGAAGTACCAGCATGTAAATAGTGTTAGGGGAGAGAGTATAGAGAAGTGAATGGGGTCTAGGCTTAGGCCCTGGAGGGTATTACCATTCGGGGGTCAATTAGAGAAGATGCCTTTTGTGACCTAAAAACTAAGACACAGGATGAACAGGCTTCTACAGGATTATCCATCTGCTGTGTCAAAATACTGCTAAGGCCAGGAAAACAGACAGGGTGTGACCATTTAGACAATATGTGACATGTGAAATTGGGAATTCTGGAGAGAAATCAAGGATTGAGACAGTGTAGTGGGACACATTTGCATGGAGTAGGTGTTTAAAGCTAGGACTGGAAGGAGATTACAAAGAAGATAGAGTTGGGAGCAAAAGGGAGCCCAGATTTAAGTCCTGAGGTGCTTCAGAGTTTGGAAACTAGTTAAGGGAAGAGGCATGTAGATGGTAGGAGCCTCTGACTTTCAGATTGTTCAAGAGGCTCACTACAGATAAGTGGTGCAGTAATTAAGGACTGAAGGTGAAGCTCAGTGGTAGAGCACTTCCCAGTGTGAGGCCCTGGGTTCAACCCCAGCATTACAAACAAACAAACAACAAAATGAATGATATTTAAACCATGAAACTCCGACTCTGATGCCCTTAGTAGTTGGGCAGGAAATTAAAACTATAAAAGAGTAAGACAGACTTGACCAAGAATGAGATGATAGGGAGTGGTAAGGATTAGCAGAGTTCTTAGCTCACTTGAGATATGCCGAATATAACACGCCCGAGAGCTGTGTTTGGCTTGAGGATCTATAGAGTGCATTCCTTGATGAAACGAGCTGTGAAGACAATTCCAAACAAAGGAGTCACACGAGTGAGACCAAGGGCAGTAAGAAAGCAGTAAGGTTGTGTGAAGGGCAGCCCAGGAACCAGCCTAAGAAATGCCGAGTGAGGTAAGATCCTGTCCTGTAGATATTTACATCTAAGCCTGAGGCAGTTGCAGGGTCAAATGGAGTTGGTGACAGAGCCCAAGGAAGGAAGTTCTAAAGCCACGTGGAACCTGTGTCTGCCTCGTTAATGCCTTTCAACATCTCTTCAAGGTACTATTGGTTGCTTTTCAGAATTGCAGAAACTAGCTGTGTGTAGTGCTGCACACCATAACCCCTGCACTTGCTGAGGATCACCATGAGTTCAAGGACAGCCTGGGCTACAAACCAAGACCCTGTCTCAAAAACAAAACAGAATTGAAGAAACCTTTTCTGCTCATGCAGAAGTTAACTGGTGGCAGGTTTAGGCCTAAACTAAGATGTAATTCTCACCTTTAGCCTCCCACCCAATAGCTCCGTATTTATTTGGCACTTCCTGCGCCTGAAGTGTTGTGGTAGGTAGCTTTTGGATTTCATGGAGTAGTCAGGGAAATGGCAGTGAAATATGGAGAGAGAGACATTTCTTTCCCTTTCCTTCAGACCACTGGTTTCTAGGACTAAGTGTGGGAGGGACTTGCCTAGGTCTAACTATGGAGGGAGTGTTAGAAAATGGATTCAGATCAGGCCCCCTGCCCTGCCTCCCTTGCTGGGTACCCAGGTTCCTGAGGCCACCATGAATCTACTGTAGGCCAGAGTGAGGTGAGTTCCTGTGGTGCTTGTCTTGTCCACATGGATCTTCAGTTTGGCAGAGCCGGCACGAGGATGCTGAGGCTCCATTCTGTGTGAAAAGGAGAGGGTGGGAAGCCCTGATGTGGGCTGTTGACTGGCTTTGGCAGAGGCGTGAGCTCTGTGGTCCGCCGTTGTGTTCATCGAGCCACTGGCGATGAGTTTGCTGTGAAGATCATGGAGGTGACAGCTGAGCGGCTGAGCCCTGAGCAACTGGAGGAGGTGCGGGAAGCCACACGGAGAGAGACTCACATCCTTCGCCAGGTCGCTGGCCACCCCCACATCAGTGAGGCTACATTCTCTGCTCCTGTTAGCTGAAAACCCCACTGCCTCTGGCCCTGCCCACAGCCCCCCACCAGCCTCTCCTCCTTTCCTCCACTCTGTTCCACCACAGTGGCAAGTCCTTGGGACCTCCTCCTTCCGACAGTTTCCTTCCTGCTCAGTAATAGCAGCACCGCTGCCCCAGGTGGCAAAGCCACTGCTTTCCGTCTCCATCTCTGCCTTTCTCTCTCTCCAGTCACTCTCATCGATTCCTACGAGTCTCCCAGCTTCATGTTCCTGGTGTTTGACCTGTGAGTATCTCCCCTGACATCTGGGAAGCTGTGTCCCCACCCCCACGTGTTGCCCCGCCTTGCAGCTCGGTGGCCTGGACACTGCCCTGCTCTCTCCTCCCTCTGCTCCAGGGCCAACTGTTGCCTCTGCTGGCCCAGGCTCTGGCCTTCTGTGTGCCGTGATTGAGTAATTATGACCAAATAAAGAGTTCTCGTGACCCCAGCCCCCCATGGTTATAGCGTGAGCCGGGGGCTCCTCTTATGAGCTGACCACACATAAAATGTGTCCATACTCACTGGTCTTGTGTGGTGTCTGTCGCTGCCCTTCGGTTCTTTTTCTGGTTTGTCTAAATCTGAATATCAGGTGTTATATAGTAATTCAAATTAACTGCAAAGGTATTTCAAAAGAGAATGACTTGAATACCAAAGATTTAATAACGGCCCTTGAAAACAACTCACGAAGGCTTCTGAATATTTACAGAAATGGCCCTTGGTACCAAGGTGCGTAGACAGTGTCCCTAACACCCTCCAACAGCTGTGTGGGACAGTGACTATTGGAGGACCGATGCAGAGCTGTAATTATTGCTTCATTTTAAGCGGAGTTTTTCTCAGATAACAGGGACCCTTTGTAAATTATGGCACACGAAGTCACTTCCTCTGCAGGAATCAGGGCACAGTGAGACACGTCACACTGCCCTGGCATCTCACAGACTCTTGAGTGCTCTGCTTCCAGACCTCTTGGCTGTCCCCATAGGAGTCTCATACTGGTCCCTCCTATGCATCTGTCACCTAAGCCCCTGCTGTCCTTTAGGATGCGGAAGGGAGAGCTGTTTGACTATCTCACAGAGAAGGTGGCCCTCTCAGAGAAGGAAACCAGGTAATGGCAGAGCCTGTAGCCCCTGGGATGAACGGAGCGGGTGGGCAGAAAGCAGCAGAGCAGGAGACTGCACCTCCCCTAGGTCCATCATGAGGTCTCTGCTGGAAGCAGTGCGTTTTCTCCATGCCAACAACATTGTACACCGAGACCTGAAGCCTGAGAATATTCTCCTAGATGACAGTATGCAGATCCGACTCTCAGATTTTGGGTTCTCCTGCCACTTGGAACCTGGAAAGAAGCTTCGAGGTGAGGGAACTTCCTGAAGCTGGTTGCCGGGTCTCTATATGGAGTCTTGGGTGTCAGGGAAGGGAAGTCAGTGAGCACTTGCCAAGTAACTGCTGGATGCAAAGCCTTTCATGCAGTTCAGAGTGGCCTTTGTGACCTGGGAGGTGGAAACATGAGAGAGCAGACGGGCACAGAGGTGGCAGAGGGCCGTGCTGGAGGCCAGAGGAAGCACAGATTTAGTCTTGGGTCCCGAGGAGGGGCCTCCAGGGCTGAGGCTTGTCCCAGCAGGAAAGGGAGTGAGAAGAGCAGGGGTGGAGCTCAGTGGAGCCAGTGCCTGCCTGGAAAGTGAGTGAGGGTTGGCCAGCGTCTAGGAGGCTGGAGTAGAGGACATTGGGGAGCAACGAGAAGCCTGGCGTGTCCAGACAGCCTTATGTAGCTTCTTACCCTGCGCACCGGGACTTGGGCTCACCCGGGTATTCATACATTTGTCATGACAAAAAGTATTTATTTTTTGGACTTGCTCTGTAGTCCAGGCTGGCCTTGAACTCTCAGAGATCCTCCTGCCTCAGCCTCTCAAGTGCTGCAGTTACAGGTGTGAGCCACCACACCTGGCAATAAGAAATATGTCTAGTGCAAAAGAGAGACATTAAGCTTAATTCAGCTATTTTTCTCTTGCAGTACTGGGAATGAACCCAGGGTCTTGCACATATGGGGCATGTGCTGTACTACATAACTACGCCCCCAGCTCTCTCAGAGCTTTGATTTTTGTTTTTTATTATTTTTTGTTTGTTTGTTTGTTTGTTTTGGTACCGGGGATCGAACTTGGGTCCCTGTGCTTGCAAGGCAGGCAGTGGAACAACTGAGCTAAATCCCCGGCCCTCTCAGAGCTTTGAATATACTATAACTTGTGCCTCAATGGCCTTGCATTGGATTTATTTTATTACTATTGTTATATTGCAGTACTGGAGACTGACCCTAGGGCCTTTGCACCAAGGTACATCTCCATTTTATTTTTCAAGACAGGGTCATCCCTAAGTTGCCCAGCCTGGGCTTGAATTTGCAGTCCTCCTGCCTCAGCCTCCCAGAGTGTGGGGATTACACGTGTGTACCAGCACACTGAATTTGCCCTGGATTTATTAATAGATAACTTATTGGGGATTTAACCATGAGGCAGGCATACAAAACCTTTACATGGCCAATTTCTCAGAACCATTTCACCTTGGACAGTTAGTATTTATTTCTTTTCAATAGATGAGCTTAAAGAGATGACTTACCCAAGGTGACTTGGCCAGGATTTGAACCTAGGCAGTCTGATTTGAGCTTACTCTGTCTTGTGGACTTTACATTTTACCATGCTGTGTCTTAGTTCCCTTTGGGCACACACACTGGTGGGAGGGGGATCGGTATTGATGATTGCACCCCAGGACTCACTCATGCCAGGTAAGCACTCCACCACTGAACGATATCGCCATACTTTTTGTTGTCGTTGTTTTTTTGGTTTTTTTGAGACAGGGTCACACTGTATAGTTGAGACTGACCTGGAACTCACTACGTAGCCCAGGTTGGTCTTGAACTCACAGCGATCCTCCTACCTCAGCCTCCCAAGTGCTCTCCATACTTTTTTAACTAAAAAATAAATTTCTTTTTGGACAGTGTTTTGCCAAGTTGCCCAGACTGGCCTTGAGTTTGTGAATCTTCTGCCTCAGTCTCGAGTAGCTGAGGTTCTAGGTGTCTGCACTTCACCCAGCTTCTTCCATATGGTTTTATTCGCTCTGGAATCACCTTTGGTCCTGCCTATTCCACCCTCCCCCCTCAGCTTAAGTAATTTGTTTCACTTTAAACTTCCAGGTCAGGCCAGGCTCCCTATTTTTGGTTTTTGTATCATTTTTCTTTTGTGACACATTTGTTACTCTATTCTTTGCTTTCTGGAAGACAGTGAGTTTACTAAGGGCATATCTAATTTTGTGTCTAATAGGATGCTTGGTACATACAATGCATTCCATAAGCATTCATTTCATGTATGAATGAATTTCCCAAGAAAGTAACTTTCAAGTTAGTCCTATTAATTATCTGGAAGTGTGCCATCTGGAGATTGCTAGAATGGAAGAATTGGTGGCCAAAGTAGTAGAATAAAAGTGTTGACTAGATCAAGACCAGAGTCCTGGAAGGCCCTGGGCATCAGCGTTCCAGACTTGATCTTGATTCCTTGATAGGAACAGTAAAGTATTTGGCACAAGGGATTCACCCAGTCTGTGCTTTTAAGAAACCCGTACTTCCACTTGTTCACCTTGGGTTGAGTAGTGGTTCTACCAACCAGAGTGGAAATTTAAGTATGGGCAGAAGAGAATACAAAAAATTTAAATTTCCTTTTCCATTTGTATAATGTATTTAGAAACAAAACAAGTTGTATTAGTGGATGGGTGGGTTGGTTTGGCTGGAGGGTGGGAGGAGGCAAAGGATATGGTTGGATAAGACCTTGAAGTCAGTCCCCAAACCAGATTTTCTTAGGAGGGTAACTGGGAGCCTTGGAGGGTATTTGAATTTTTTGGCAGAGACCTTATGTACTTCTGAGGCTAAACAGCAAGCAGCACAGGTGGAATGGGTCACGAGTGATGCTGGCAAGGTTGAGGGGGGTTCTGGCACAGATCTGCTCAGGGCCCTGGAGGGGCCTAGTGGCATCCCCTCAATCCCTGCCTTTCTCCCCAGAGCTGTGTGGGACCCCAGGGTATCTAGCACCAGAGATCCTGAAATGTTCCATGGATGAAACCCACCCAGGCTATGGCAAGGAGGTCGACCTGTGAGTTTCTGGGCTGCTCTCCCTCCTGTGTGTTCTATCCTTCATATTGCCTGTTACCTAGGCCTGCCTGACTCTGCTCTCTTTCCCAGCTGGGCGTGTGGGGTGATTCTCTTCACACTCCTGGCTGGCTCACCCCCATTCTGGCACCGACGCCAGATCCTGATGTTACGCATGATCATGGAGGGCCGGTACCAGTTCAATTCACCTGAGTGGGACGACCGTTCAGACACTGTCAAAGACCTGGTGAGGTGGGGCCGTCAGGACAGTGGGGAAGGCCAAAGGCCTGCCCCTCATACTCTGGAGTTTTCCCTAGATCTCGAGGCTGCTGCAGGTAGATCCTGAGGAGCGCCTGACAGCTGAGCAGGCCCTGCAGCATCCCTTCTTTGAGCGCTGCAAAGGTAGCCAACTCTGGAACCTTTCACCCCAGCAGCGGTTCCGGGTAAGCCTGAGTGGCAGGGTCTGCACCCGCCTGCTGACCTTTCCCACGTGCCAGATGCTCTGCTGGAATTCATACTCCCCCCTTCTTAGGTGGCGGTGTGGACAGTGCTGGCTGCTGGACGAGTGGCCTTAAGTACCCGCCGTGTGCGGCCAGTGACCAAGAGTGCACTGCTGAGGGACCCCTATGCGCTGCGGCCAGTGCGGCGCCTCATTGACAACTGTGCCTTCCGGCTCTATGGGCACTGGGTGAAGAAGGGTGAGCAGCAGAACCGAGCAGCCCTCTTCCAGCACCGGCCCACTGGGCCTTTTCCTCTCATCGGCACTGAAGAGGAGGGGGACTCCACTACTGTTGCTGAGGATGAGGCTGCACGGGTCCTGGGCTAGGCCCTCAGCCCTGAGAAGTTCAGAAAGCAGGATTCCTGGGAAGTGTGAACCATTCCAGCCCCCCTGGGCCCTTGCTGTAGGACCTGCCTTGCCCTACTGCTCATGCTCCCATCATAAGAGAACTCTGTAGCCTGCTCGCCCTTCCTGGCCGAGGCTTAAGAGATCAGAGCTGGGGTGGAAGAGCTGCTCCAGATGCCATGCCCAGTTGCATCAGTGCTGTCTCTGCTATATCTGAAATAAAATCTGTTCCACACCGGGGGTGGTGAGTGCCTTGTGTCTGCTGACAGGCTTCAGCCCACAAGGTGCTCAGGATGAGGGATAGTGGGGGTGTGCTCTGGCCCCTGCCTTTATTGGGGAAACTGCTGGGGATCACTTCATCTTGTTCTTGCCCTTGCTGGTTGGTACCTGGGAGGGCCACTCCAGAGCAGTCAACTTGCTGCTGAGCCTTTCCTCACTGGCCTTGAGCTGCTTTTCCACTAGCTGCTGGAGCTGCCTTAGCTCCTTGTGCACCTGAGTCTTGATGTAGGTTTGGAGGATACACAACTGGCCTGCAGGGTCAGGGAAGGGCAGATCAGGAGAGATGCTGTCTGGAGGACTGTCCCTCGAGGGGTCAACACAGTCCCCCTGGGCTGCACAGTGGCAGTGTTGCTTCAGTTCAGGAGATGCCACCAGCCCTTGAGAGACACAGGTGGGCTCGGGGCCTACACTGTGCCTCCTGGCTTCATATTTGGACTGCAGTTTGGTAATTACGTGACCTTAGGTTATTTAACCTTTCCATGCCTCAGCTTCCTTGTGTAAAGTGTGGATAATAATAACCCTAGTACACAGGATTGGGAGAGGGTTGAATTAATATACACAAGATGCATGGAACAAGGCATTCTGGTACACACCATTACCAAACCTGTGCTGACTGTCACCATCATACACCAGCTGTGTCTTTTGGGTTTTTTTTTTGTTTGTTTTGGGGTTTTTTTTGGTACGGGGATCGAACTCCCTAAATCCCCGACCCTCAGCTGTGTCTTTGGAACTACCTCCTCTGCCTCCCCCGAGCCCCCAGCATATGTTCTTATAATCTAGCTGTCATCTTGGATTTGTGCATAAGGAATTGTTTGGACGGAGGACACAAACTAAACTAAAACTAAAAGTCTGAAATCCCGATGTACTCCAAACCTTCATTTTACATCACAGAGTCACAGGGCACCGAACCCCTTTGTGCTCACTTGGCTCTTGCACTGGTTGGGCCACTGTTCCCGGTTCTTCTTCCTGTTGGGTGGCTGCCGGCTCCTCTGTTTCCTGGCCTTCTTTCTCTGCAAACCAGCAAAAGGAAGAGACCTCAGCCTCAGCCCTGGTCCAGCCCTAGCACTGTGCTTTCCCGTACCTGTCCTACCCTCTGGCCAAGGCTTGGGTGGCTGTAGCCCCATGTAAGTCAAAGACAAATCCAGCCGCACCTGGGAAGAGAGGATGAGGGAGGCTGAGAGGAAGGCGGAAGGCACCTGTACTGAGGTGTGGGAGAAGCAAGGGGTGACCTCTTGTACCCCATGGCTTGGTACCTGTGGTGTGAACGCATATTTGTAGAGCTTGAAGTGACGGAAGTAGGTGTTGACAATATAGTCTGCCAGGGCCAGCAGCTGTTCTTCCTTAAAGAGGTCGATGCTGAAGGGTGGCCGCTGCAGCAAGGACTGGAGTTAGTACTGATGGTCTCCTGAAGCCCTGGCCCTTCCTCCAAGAGCCCAGCTGTCTAGAAGTGGGGAAAGCCCACTGCTGCTCTCAGAGAAAAGAGGTTGATGGGCAGGAGGAGATGGTGAGACCTTGTCTAGAGAAGGGTGAGAAGTCCATTGCAGGGTACTGACCCTGACTCCATGGCTGAAGAGAGCAGTGGTAAAGTAGCGGTAGCATTCCTCCACGTTGCCCAGTGGGGTTGCTGGTAGAGAAAGCAAGGTGCAACAGTGAGTCTCTCCCTGCTATCTCACTTGGGGAGTGTGAGCCTCAGAGGTAGACAGATCTATATTTAATTCTCACTTGTTTAATTCATTTAACTGCATCCTCACTATGTACCATTCTAGGCACTGAACAAGACAGACAAGGTCGTGTACTCAGGAAGCTTATATTCTAGTGGAAGGGGAATACAATAAAAGAAATATGTAATGTCAGCTATCAAGCATTCTGAAGAAAAGAAGTTTGGGAATAAAAAGGCAGGGAATGTAGAAGCTACGTTACTGAACACTGCACATATTATCTCAGAATACACCTATAAAATTAGTGCTGTGTCTTTATTGATTGGGTTGGGTTTTTTTGCTTGTTTTTTGAGACAGAGTCTCACTATGCAGTTAAGACTGCCCTAAAACTCACTACGTAGCCCAGGCTGGTCTCAAACTCAGCAATCCTGCCTCAGCCTCCCAAGTGCTGGGATTACAAGGTGTATGCCACCATGCCTGGCTCTTAATTTACTGATAGACATAGGATGTCAAAGGCAATAACAGTGTGTGACACTACAACTAATAATGACAGAACAAAGTTTCCATGTGATAACACCTTTGCTTCTGTTACCCATGGTCCCTTGAGCCACCTCCATCTCCTCCTATCCCTGGGGCTTAAACTTTCTGGTAGCTGCCTCCCTCTCACCAACACAGGCCTTGTGAAGATCCTGGAGCAGAGCACATGCCACTGATGTCTGCTCCAGTGAGAAACCTTGCTGGTGGCAGAAGATGAGGGCATGGGAGAAGAGGTCCAGGGTGATGGCATCCCGCAAGCTCTGCTCAGGCCAGTCAATCTCCATCAGCTCAGCCAACACCCTTGGGAGGGAGAGGAAGGTGTGAGCAACAAGAACCTTCTTTCATTGGCGTTCATTCACTGTGTGCTTTGGAGCCAGCCATTTCTCCTGTCTTCCCTCCTTAAGAGTTCTTCCCCACCCCGATCAGTCCATACTCTCTCATTTCCTCAACACTGGCTGTCTTCTCCAGCTGGTGCATGGAATGGAGGTCCAGGTATTTCCTGTAGAAGGGGAGACAAGGCAGTGGTGGTTGGTACATGATCACTAGAGCATTGGACCAGGAATCGGGAGGCCTGTGTTTCTGCTCCCACTAACTTTCTGTATAATCTTTGGCAAGTCTCTTAGCTCTGTTGACGTTACTTTTTCCCTCTGTAGTTATACAGCCTAAACTCATGTTCCTCTCCATTTATAAAGCCTATTAGGAAACTTGAGTTCTTATCTTTGCCACTACTTTGCTATATGGCTTTAGTGAGCCCCCATCTCCCACAGTGGGTCTCAGTATCCCTGGGTCTATAGTGCTGTATAGCAACTAAGACATTCCATTATGTTTATATCCTCAGTCCGGGGCTCTCTTTTCATACTGCCTCTTTGGACTGGGGAGCCAGGAAAGCTGGCTTCTAGTCACCCTAAATAACAGCATCTCTGAGTCTGTTTCCTCATCTGTAAAACGGGGATGCCCTTGCTATGGACAGGGCTGTTAGGGAGATGCTAAAGGAATAATGCAAGTGTGACGTGTAACTCTTTCCCAGGGCTCACTCTTTCTCCCCCTACCCGCTTTTTTCCTTTCTGCTACTGGGGAGCGAACTCAGGACCTTGAGCTCGCCAGGCAGGTGTGGCTCCACTGAGCTCCATCCCTGGCCCTTCCCAGGGCTCTTTTCACTCACCACATGCAGATCCGAGGCTGGGGCAGTGGAGGCTGCAGAGAGAAAGTGGAGTGGGTAAGAAGAGCTGTGCTGTGCCTGGCGCCTAGTCACTGGCCTGTCGTGATTCTCCTCACCGCCCGGGCGTTGAGAACACGTTCGATTGCCTTCTCAACACTGGGCCAACGTAGAGCAATGAAGGCGGGTCTCTGGGGCCCAGCAGGCCCTAAATACTACTTATGAGCATGTTAACAACTGGGGTCACACATTCCCTGTCTCTCTTTGCCTTGGTGCCAAGTCACCGTGGAAGGAAAGTTAGCAAAGGTAATGAAGGGCGGCGACATGCTGGGAAAATCTTATACGATTCATGAGGGGACCACTGTGTCTTGCTCTCACCGGAAACAAGTTGATTTCAGGATCTTCATCTGCTTCCACAGAGGCAGAGGCTGCTGTTGCCAACTCGGTCCACACATTTGTTTCTGTCTTCGTGGACGATCTCACCAATGAGCCAAGATCTTTCTCCAGTTCCCCTTGTGGTTCCGAGAGCTGTCCCAGTTTGTACTGTACCTTAACTCCTAAGGACTGGCTTGGGTTTGGGCTGATCATCTCGTCCTCGTAGTATCACAAGGTCTCACATCTAGGTTATGGAACAACGAATTTTCGGGCAGCGATTGCCAAGTCCTGGCCCTGTACTGATTCTCCAGCCAATCTACGATGCAGAGAGACTGGGCGCAGCCAATCAGTTGTGGGGGGCGTGTCCCACCGTCTCCCTGGTGAACCGTTGCTAAGGTGGTCCTGAAGGAGGAAGGTGGAAAGTTCAAGTACACACTTCCGTCAGTGAGGAGCAAATGTGTATGCGTAGCAAATTGCAAGTTGCTCACCTGGGTGCCCCCTTCCAAATTGCTGATGGTTGGCACTGTTCTCAGCGCTGGCTAAGGGGGCAGAGAGGTGTGAGTTACCATGGGAACTGCCTACTGGCCAATCACTGAGTGCAAGAGGAGGAGTTCAGGAAGTAGCCGAACGATGGGAGAGGCGGGGCTAAACGCGACCAATAGGTTCAGGAAATGAAGCCTCGCCACATCCGGCGCAGCCTCTGGTGCTTGCGCTCTGTGCAGGGGTGCCCGGTGACGTCCGGTGGAGTCCAAGATGGCGCCGCTAGGTTGACCCTAGTCTCGGTGAGGACCTCGGGCTGGTAGGGGCGGAATCCCGCGATTGTGTACAGGAGAGAGGCTCGTGGCTATGGAGCACTGGCCGCTTCTAGTCTCTATTTTGTCGTCTGCAGATAACGGAAGTGTCTCCTCTCCTCGCCTGAAGCCCCTTGGGGGATCCTGCGTCGCTCCTTGCTGCCCGAAGCAATGTCTGGGCCGGGCAACAAACGTGCTGCGGGCGATGGGGGCTCCGGGCCCCCAGAGAAAAAGCTGAACCGCGAGGAGAAGACCACAACCACTCTTATCGAGCCCATTCGACTTGGAGGCATTTCTTCCACGGTCCGTGGGCTTTTGCCTTAGTCCTGACTACTTGGCTAGACTCCTGTCTCTTCCCAAACGGCCCGGAATCTTACTACGTTTCCCAAGCGTGGCAAAGTGCACTTCTGTTGAAGGAAACCGAGAACACCGCGTTTGCCTTCCCTTTTCAGGGTTCCCAGAGAGAGTGTGATACGTCAGAAACTTCAGATTTAGAGACAAAAGCCAGGCATGGTGATGCACACCTATAATTCCAGCACTCAAGAGGCTGAGGCAGGACGATCGTGCAAATTTGAGGCCAGTGTGAGCTAGTAACATAGTGAGTTCAAGCCCTTTTGTTTTGTTTTTGAGACAAGGGCTTGCAAAGCATAAGTTGAGCCTTCTCATAAACAAGATGCTTTTGCTGTGGTGTTGGCAGGTAGCCTGAGAGTATTCCCCTGCTATTCATTCACTTGTTTTCCTACTGTGTTGTAGTTTCTGAGACCCACTTAACACACTTTCTTGACCCCTTTGTTTTTCTTGGTAGGAGGAGATGGACTTGAAGGTACTGCAGTTCAAGAATAAGAAGCTAGCAGAGCGATTGGAACAGCGACAGGCTTGTGAAGATGAACTCCGAGAACGAATTGAAAAATTGGAGAAGCGGCAGGCCACAGATGATGCCACACTCCTCATTGTCAATCGCTACTGGGCCCAGGTTGATGCCCTCTGCTTTCAGAGACCTGAGCTTGATTCGGTTGCCAGTTTTCATTGCCCTGCTGGGGAAGGAGAATTATGCTGGAAAGCACTGAGGAATTCATAACATTTTTGGTGCTTTTCCCCTTCAGCTAGATGAAACTGTGGAAGCTCTTCTCCGATGCCATGAGAGCCAACGAGATCTCTCTGCAAGGACCGAGGCATCTGGGACCCAGGAGGGGCCAACACGTGATATGACCCCTCTCACGGAGCCAGGGACGTCAGAGCTGAGGGGTAGGGCCAGAGCCTTAGGATCTGGGGAACTTAAATTCTAGGAAAGGTTTGGGGAAGAAGGGACTTCGTTCAGGGGTCCTGAAATCCTCATCCCATCCCCTGTCCTAAAAAATTACTTTCATGTTTGGGCAGTAAAGGCAGTGGGTGAGAACAGAGGTCTTATAATCTAATAGTGTTCATGTCACTACTCTTTTACTTCAGAAAGTATTGTTAGCTGGGCATGGGGTTCGCACTTGTAATTCCAGCTCTGTGGGAGGGTAAGCCTGGCTTTCAAGCCCAGCATTGGCAGCTTAGCAGGATTCTGACTCAAAAAATAAAACAAACAAACAAAAAACAAAGGGCTGGAATGTAGCTCAGTACAGAGGCCCAAGGTTCCATCTCCAGTAACTAAACAACAAAAAAAATTATTGAGCGTTGACTTAACACTTTTGTAGACTTGGAGAAATCAGAGATAAGCAGAAAGAAATATTTCTGATCTCAGAGAGAAAATTATCCTAAACCATAATAACTAAAAAGTATTAGGGCCCCTGACAGGAAATAAATGTGGGTGCATGTGATTTGTGGGTTCTATTTAAACTGGGAAGGGAGAGGAAGCTTCCTTGAAGAAGTGATTTGGCAGCTCCGTAGCTTTGAAGAAATGACTCTCTCCCTAAACTTCAGTTGTCTCTCTGTTGAGTTGGGAATAACAGTGTACTACAGATTGCGGCAAGTGAGCCATGGAGTATGCAAGGGCTCACTCTGGAACTCGGTCCAGATTGGCAGGCATTACTTTTGTTATTTTCATAAGGGTTTGTCTGTCCCTCCCAGAACCCCTACCAATGCAGCTGCGACCCCCTCTCAGTGAGCCAGCCTTGGCTTTTGTAGTAGCACTGGGTGCCAGCAGCAGTGAGGAAGTGGAGCTGCAGCTGCAGGGCCGGATGGAATTCTCCAAGGCAGCCGTGTCCCGCTTGGTAGAGGCATCAGACTGCCTACAGCGCCGGGTGGAGGAACTCTGTCAGCGAGTGTACAGCCGAGGTTAGTTCTCTACCTATTCTTGATGTGTATGGCCCTATGTCTTGATTCCTCCCTATTGTGGTAATGCCCTGAGCCCAGAATTCTCCAAGAAACAAATCGCCATGTTTTGGGGGGATGAGGTTAGTCTGTAGATGGAGGACTCCAGCTTGGATTCTTGGAGTTGAACTCCAGAGAAACCAGGGGAGGAGTAGTTGATGCTGGTGGGTCATCGCCCCCTTCTGGTTAGGGACCTCTCTGGAGCACTTTGTGCAGACTTTTTTGTTTTGGTTTGGGTTTTTTTGTTTTGTTTTTTTTTTGCGATAAGATCTCACTGTGTGTCCAGGCTGGCCTTGAACTCACCATGTAGCCCAGGCTGGCCTTGACTTCACAGCGATACTCCTGCCTCAGCCTCCCCAAGTGCTATGAAACATTAGTGACATGTGTTGATCCACAGGCTTTGCATGTTGACAGGTTTCTCCCGTCCGTAGTTCTGCCTCTCTAACCTGGGCCTTTAGGGCAAAAAGCCATTCTCTTTGAGCTGATTTCCTCCTTTGTGTAGTGGGGATAAACACTTCTTACTTTACCCAGGTCTGTAATCCCAGCACTCTGGAGGCTGAGGCAGGAGGATCACCACAAGTTAGAGGCCAACTTGGGTTTCGTAGGAGTTCAAGGCCAGTCTGTACTCTATAGCAAGACCCTGTCTCAAAAACAAAACAAACCTAAAAAACTAAACTAAAAAAAAAAAAACTTCACTTTGTCATGGCGTACAGGCGAGACAGCTGGTAGATCACATTATGCTCATATTAAAGAGTTGGTACATTGCCTTCTCACCCAGGGCTTGCTTCTTATCTGGGCCTTACCTTCCCAGGGGACGGTGAACCTCCCAGTGAGGTGGCTCAGGCACGCACAAGAGAGCTGGGCCGGGAGAACCGGCGACTGCAGGATTTGGCCACTCAGCTACAGGAGAAGCACCACCGCATCTCACTGGAGGTGGGAGTTGAGCTTTTGGGGTGAAATTAGAACCAGAGCAGGGTTGTGGTTAGATGGGCACCCAAGGATCTTGGAAAACCTTGATCTTTCCTTCCATTGTCACCAGTACTCTGAGCTCCAGGATAAAGTGACATCAGCTGAAACGAAGGTGCTAGAGATGGAGACAACGGTGGAGGACCTGCAGTGGGACATTGAGAAGCTGCGCAAACGAGAGCAAAAACTCAATAAGCACCTGGCAGAGGCCTTGGAGCAGGTTAGGCTGGGGTACTGGGAACCTAGGCCCTACTTCCTGTCCTGTACATTCATCATCTTTCTCTTTTCTGCAGCTGAACTCTGGGTACTATGTGTCTGGGAGCTCCTCAGGCTTCCAAGGGGGCCAGATCACACTCAGCATGCAGAAGGTGAGCGGCATCATTCCGCCCAGCCCCTCTTGTAGCTTTTTCTCTGTTCTGCCCTTGATATTCCCCTCAAATTCCCCTGAGAACTAAGGGCGAACATGTACCTCTGAGCCTCTTTCCTGTCCTTCTTGGAGCTTTCTTTCATTTGCTCATATTTTTATTTCCCTAATAAATCTTGAGTACTGAGTGCTAGGCAAATTGGAGAGGATGGCTAGATTAAAACCAGAACCTCCGTAGAGTGTAAGTTCCTGTTGGGGCAACAGGTGAGAGAGAAAATAGTACATCTACTAGTTATAAGTACCACCCACAAAAAAAAAAGGCACAGAGAGAGAGAGAGAAATGGGAGTTAGATGGAGATAAATGGACTCCATTGGCATTCTGAGGTCCCTGTCCCTTCTTTTCCTTGAGCTTGTCCTTTAGGTTTACAGCAGCACTTCACTGATCCCCTGTGAGTTGAGAAGCTTAGTTCCCAGTATCCAGGACTCCTGTGAAGTGTGGAGTTTCCTCCCACTTGTTTGGGAGCCCTGCAGGATTTGGGTTCGGGGCTTCAGTGTCTGTCAGTGTTGTGCACAGTGAGCTTAGGTGGAACACATGGTGAGGTGTGAGAAGAGATGCCACCCACCCTGCCCCTGCCAACCACAGCCCCTCCGATTCCTTAGTTTGAGATGTTGAATGCAGAGTTGGAGGAAAACCAGGAATTGGCCAATAGCCGCATGGCAGAGCTGGAGAAGCTGCAGACCGAACTTCAGGGGGCTGTAAGGACCAATGAACGCCTCAAGGTAGGCTGCGTTTGGGAGTGACAGGGCTTGGGCCCCAAGTAATGACTGGCCCCTGAATTCTCTCTCTCACTCTTTTTGGTATCCTCCCCCTTAGGTGGCCCTGCGGAGCCTTCCTGAGGAGGTAGTGCGTGAGACTGGAGAGTACCGCATGCTGCAGGCCCAATTCTCGCTGCTCTACAATGAGTCCCTGCAAGTGAAGACCCAGCTGGATGAAGCCCGGGGGTTGCTGCTGGCCACTAAGAACTCCCACTTGAGACACATTGAGCACATGGAGGTGTGGCCCCAGCACAGATGGTGCGGGTTGAGGTCAGCCCTTTAGAGTTGAGATATTCCTGGGATTTGAAGCCCTTTGTAGCTGCCACAGATTGTCCAATATACTGAGGTCCAAGGTGTGGCTGGGGGATTGTGTGACCCCTTCACACTTGAACCTACAGAGCGATGAGCTGGGACTGCAGAAGAAGCTGCGCACAGAGGTCATTCAGCTGGAGGACACTCTGGCCCAGGTACGCAAGGAATACGAGATGCTGCGCATCGAGTTTGAACAGAACCTGGCGGCCAACGAGCAGGCGGGTATGTGGCGGGTCAGTGGAGAGGGGCACTTAACCTGGGGGTGTGGGACCCTGCTAGGCTGCTGTCCTCCAGAGCAAGAAGTTGAGCCCTCCATTGTGCAGAGCTTCATCTTCCCCAGAAAGCAGGAGCTGCCCTGGCTCACAGGCAAAGTGAGGGGCACGGCCACCCGACATGGCTGGCAGAGCCGGCGCAGCTAGAATCAGAGCTGTCGGCCCCAGCTGGTGTTCACTGACCTTTTGGTGCCTTTCACTGGAATACTGGTCTTAGAAAAATTTACTCAATATTACCTGTGACCTAGGCCTTTTTCTAGGTGTTGCAGTTATGCCAGTGAACAAAACATGAGGAATCCCTGCCATCCCGGAGCAGTGTTCCAATAAAGAAAGACTGAAACATTTTCTGCAGTGCATAATGGTAGATGCCAAGAAAAGTGAAACATAAAAGGAAGGCAGGAAGTATCCAGAGAGAGGGTGTTATAGCCTCGAATGAGAGACCAGGCAGATATAACTAGAGTGGCATTTAAGAATCTAAAAAAGGTTGACTGACCATTTGTGAATGTTAGTTATCTGTACCATTGAAGGAAAGTTGGAGATTTTTTAAAAAATCTACTTTAGCAAAAATACAATAGACCTTGGCAAGTCACTTTTTGGTGAGTTTCTTTGAGTCTGCATTATTTGCCTGAATGAAGTCACATTGTTAAGGCCAGAGGGTTCCCCTCCTGCCCGGTGGAGGTACCAGCTCTGAGTCTCCTCCCCCGCTAAGGGGTTGGGGCTCTGATAGGGATGAGTCTGACACCCTTACTTCCCAACTTGTTTTAGGGCCTATCAACCGTGAGATGCGCCACCTGATTAGCAGCCTCCAGAATCATAACCACCAGCTGAAAGGGGATGCCCAGCGATACAAGCGGAAGCTTCGAGAAGTTCAGGCTGAGATTGGCAAGGTGAGGAGGGCTACCTAGGAAAAGTCTTTGGTAGACTCCAGTGAGCACTGACTCACCTCATTCCTTCTCCTCTCTGTCTTTGCAGCTCCGGGCTCAGACCAGTGGCTCTGCCCACTCTGTCCCCAACCTGGGACACCCAGAGGACTCTGGCCTCAGTGCCCCAGCCCCAGGGAAGGAAGAGAGTGGGCCAGGCCCTGTCATTACCCCCGAGAGCAGAAAGGAAATAGCTTTAGTGCCTGGTGCCACCACTGCTGCCTCCTCAGTGAAGAAAGAGGAGCTAGTCCCCTCTGAAGAAGATGCCCAGTCTTTAACCCCTGGGGCCCAGGGTCCCTCCTCCCGGGGCCGAGAGCCTGAGACCAAGCCCAAGCGAGAACTTCGGGAACGGGAAGGACCTGGCCTGGGACCCCTACCTGTAGCCTCAGCTCTCTCAAGGGCCGATCGAGAGAAGGCCAAGGTGGAGGAAGTCAAGAGGAAGGAGTCAGAACTGCTCAAGGGTCTCCGGGCAGAGCTCAAGTGAGGCCCTATTGCTGCCTTCTGTCCTGGTTGTGTGTTCTGCAGCTATACTCACTGAGCCTTTCACACCCTCCCCCAGGAAGGCCCAGGAGAGCCAGAAGGAGATGAAGCTGCTACTGGATATGTACAAGTCTGCGCCTAAGGAGCAGCGGGACAAAGTGCAGCTCATGGCAGCCGAACGAAAGGCTAAGGCTGAGGTGAGGGCAGGTAGCGTTTCAGAGCCATGCAGAGAGGTGGTTGGCCAGCGTGGAGCCTAGTTCAGCAGGGAGCAGTGACTCAGCTCCCTTGTGCGGCTTCAGGTTGATGAGCTGCGGAGCCGTATCCGGGAACTGGAGGAGAGGGACCGAAGGGAGAGCAAGAAGATTGCAGATGAGGATGCCCTCCGGCGCATTCGGCAGGCAGAGGAGCAGATTGAACACTTACAACGCAAATTGGGTGCCACAAAGCAGGTGTGACCCTCTCACAGTCCCCTTGCTTCTGGAGGCTGGGATCCCCTTAGCCCTCTGTCGGCTCCTCTAGATGGCACGTGATGGCTTGGGTCTGCTCTGTGGTTCCTCCATGGCCATCCTGTCCTTCCCTCCTGATGCAGGAAGAAGAGGCTCTACTCTCAGAGATGGACGTGACAGGCCAGGCTTTTGAGGACATGCAGGAGCAGAACGGGCGGCTGCTGCAGCAGTTGCGGGAGAAGGACGATGCCAACTTCAAGCTGATGTCCGAGCGGATCAAGGCCAACCAGATCCACAAGCTGCTGCGGGAGGAGAAGGATGAGCTGGGCGAGCAGGTTCTTGGTCTCAAGTCCCAGGTACAGCTGCACCCAGTGGGGCTCAAGGTGGAGTGGGGAGGCTGCGCTCCCCACACTGAGGCTCCCCGTCCTCAGGTGGATGCGCAGCTGCTGACTGTGCAGAAGCTGGAGGAGAAGGAGCGGGCCTTACAGGGCAGCCTGGGGGGCGTGGAGAAGGAGCTGACTCTGCGCAGCCAGGCCCTGGAGCTCAACAAGAGGAAGGTAAGGCTGGGCCTGGCTATTTTCTTTACAGTTAATTCTCTTCCTTAAATTTTTTTTTTTTTTTTGCGGTACTTGGGATTGAACCCAGGGCCTTCCCACCAAGCTCTGTCCTGAGCCTTTTTTAAATTTTGAGACAGGTTATTCAGGTGTTATTCAAAGAAGCAGTCCGCCTGCCTCAGCCTTCCAAAATGCTGAAATAGGTGTATATCATCGTACCTGGAGCCAGCATGTTTTAATGCTCCTGCAGTGTGCCAGGTCTGTGCTGACTACTGAGAGATGGGGGGACAAGAAGGTCCCTGCCTCTAGTCAAGGCTGGAGTTTCTCATCTTGACTTGCAGATAAACTGGCTTGCTAATAATGCTGTCATAAATCACCCAGTAGGGGAGCTCCCGGGGAGGGGACACTTGAGTCAAGTCCTGAGGGTGTTGTCTGTGTGTTGGAGGGCTTGAGGGTAGGGAGCAGAGGGAAGAGCTAGTGTAGGCTCAGCAGAATGGAGCGGTGTCAGTGACGAGGGAGAGGGAGAGGAGGAAGAGGAGAGGCCGAGGGTCTGAAGGCAGGAGCAGCTCCAGTGCAGATTCAGCGGAAGTGTAGGACACAGCACTGGAGGACTATGGCTCCCCTCCTTCCTGTCCCATTCACCTCAGGCTGTGGAAGCTGCCCAGCTGGCCGAGGACCTCAAGGTGCAGTTGGAGCACGTGCAGACTCGTCTTCGAGAGATCCAGCCCTGCCTGGCAGAGAGCCGGGCTGCTCGTGAGAAGGAGAGTTTCAACCTCAAAAGGGCTCAGGTTTGTGCCTCTGGGAGGGCAGGAGAGCCAGGCTGCCAGTGTGGCCAGGTTAAGCTGCTCAAGGGTGCGAAGCCGTGCCCTTAGCCTGGCCTCTCTGCTGCTCCAGGAGGACATCTCCCGGCTGCGGCGCAAGCTGGAGAAGCAGAGGAAGGTGGAAGTTTATGCAGATGCTGATGAAATTCTCCAGGAGGAGATCAAGGAGTACAAGGTGGGGCCACTAGGCTGAGCTGTGCCCCATGAACCCAGGAATTGTACTGAGGAGTTAGTGAGAGATAGAGGGTGGTCGGGAACCCTGGACACAAGGTAGGACAGCAGGAAGCACTGAAGTCAGACAACTGGCCACTTATTTCTTGGGCACCTGCCATGTGCCAGTCACAGTGCCTAACTTCGTGTGTGGTCGAAAGGTTCAGACCTCTTGAAAGTGACAGGTGGCCAGGTAGGGCAGCCAAGTAATTCTCCCATCCCTGAGATAAGCAATGTGATTGAAGAGGCAAGAGGGGCAGGGAACTCAGGAGAGGCCCTTAAATGATTTCGAGTCAGGCTTCCCAGAAGGAATATCAGCCAAGGCTGACCTGAAGAATAAGTGGAGTCCACAAGGGAGAATGGGGATGAGAGGTGTAAAAAGGGACAGGCATTTGTGGAGGCCTTGAGAGGTATGTTGGGCTGACCGAGCTGGTAGTCGTGGTTGGAGGAGGAAGATTGGAGAGGTTGGGCAGGGGCAGATCCTGAAGGCTGTGAGGATCCAGGATGAGCAGCCTGGCTTATGCCATAGAAAGATGGAGTCATTGAAGGCTGTGAGTTTTTTCCTCTCAAGGGGTGGTGCTAGGGAGGGAATCCAGGGTCTTGTGTGCATGCTAACCACACACTCCACCAGAGTTCCAGGAAAGGGTTTGACAGGAGAATGGCACAGTCAGATTTGCTGTTGGATTTGGGTTAAAGGAGGTAACAGTAGAGGCAGGGAAGTTCTTCGCTGATGTCACTAAGGCAAAACTGACCCTTAGTTAGCTGAAGGTATTGGAGACGTGTAGGGGGCATTCCCTGGGTTTGGGAATGGACTGAATGGGTAAAGTGAGGGGAAGTGAGATACTGGGGAGGGTTCTTGAGTTCCTAGTTTGCAAAACAGTAAATGATGAGTACTTTTTAGTCAGGAAGCCTGGAGAGGCAGCTTGTAGTGCATAGTGTGGAAGGGTGCTGAGAACAGTGTGCCTGTGGGATCTCTGGGGAGCTGGGAAGGCCCTTGAGGCACAGGGCTGGCCTGGGATCAAGTCCAGAGTGGGTCCTTTCCTGTCTGGAGCTGAGGGCAAGACCTTCCTGATCGTACATAGGAAGTGTCAGGCTGAAGACCCTGGTAGTGTCTCAGGGTCACATGGGGGCTGGGCCCAGTCGAGGGCAGAAAGCACATTGCTAGTGGCACTGTCATGCCCGGCTGTGACTAACAGGTGCAGATGAGAATGTAGCTAGGATCGGGATTTTGCTAGAGAAAACCAGTGGGGCAAGAGATGAAGCCCCAGTGCAGAAGATATCAGGCTGGTCCTTGTCCTTGAGAGAATTCAGAATTTGCTGCCTTCTGGTTTTGAGTCCTCATCCTGTGGAGCCTGTTTCTCATTTATTGTAGAGTGCTTGTTTTCACTTCCCAAGGTTATGGTATTAGGTGCATCTGCTATGTGGTGGGCTTAGCCGGAATCACCTCCCGCTGTCAGCTTAGGGGCTGGGCACTGTCAGATTGTTCCAAAGCTGACATCTTTGCCTGGTCCAGGCGCGGTTGACCTGCCCCTGCTGTAACACCCGCAAGAAGGATGCAGTTCTTACCAAGTGTTTCCACGTTTTCTGCTTCGAGTGTGTGCGGGGCCGCTATGAGGCCCGCCAGAGGAAGTGCCCCAAGTGCAACGCAGCCTTTGGTGCCCACGACTTCCACCGCATCTACATCAGCTGAATTTAAGACTCAGGGGACTTTGGATCACCTGTGGACCCTGGGGGCTGTGCCCCTAGTCTCTCCCTATCCTAGGTGCAGTGGTTCCATTCCAGACCCTGTGGGCCCAGTCCCTGCCCATCTGGTTGGTTTGGGGGCCTTGGTGCATGCTATAGGGGTGGAATCAGTCAGGCTCAACTCCCATCTTTTCCTGCAGGTTATTTGCGCCTAGAGGGTACTCATGTGGGGCCCAGAGTACTTCTAGAGCTTCTTGGAAACTAGTTCTAATCCTGCTCCTATCCCCACGGACCCATCCTAGCCCTGAGGGGAAAATTCTCCAGGCTGTGTCCTTCCACCCAAGAAAAGGCTCACCGTGGGCCAGCACACCCACAAGTGAAGACCAGGGATGGACCAGTCCTTCTCCCCCTTGCTAGGCTCTGGGCCTTTGGGAAACTTTCTTCACCCATTACTTCCCAGTCCCAGCCTGGACAGGGCTCTTGTCCTTCCCAAGGGGACTCGTCCTTGGTGGCCCAATGTCCTGGACAGTAGGTTGCCACTTACTCGAGGGCCTGAAAGAAGTGCCCCTTCTGGAGGCGCTGCCATCTTCTGGGAAGCTCTGCAGTTGCTGTGGTCACTGCTCTCCTCGGGAGGGCTGAGTCAAGATCATCCGTTACTATTCTAAGCTGGCCCCACCCCAGCCTATGCATCCCACAGCTCCTGAGTCACTTTCATTCATCCCAGTGGCCTTAATTGCCATGCAGGGGAAGATTCCCACATGTGACATACTGGTCCCAGTTGCTGGGCTGACTTCAGATCATTCCAGGTAGAAGAGTTTTGCCCAACACCCTTTGACAGCCTGTAACCACGATGCTTCCTTCCTGTGCAGCCTGCCTGGGCCAACTTCATGGGCTGTGAAGTCAGTACCAGGGTGGCCTGGAAGGTGGAGCTGCTGACAGGTGCAGGGACCTACTTGGACTCAGCCTCTGCTCTAGAGATGTCTTGTAGAGACTGTTCGTTGTTATGAATAAACGTGCAACCCTTGGCCTACAGCCACAGCAGCCATAGATTTAGCTACTCCGCCTGTCCACTCCCCTGGCTTGGTGCGCACCTGGGAGGCGGCCTGTTCTTGTATAAAAGACACTCCTGGGCCGGGGATTTAGCTTAGTTGTACCTCTGCCTGCCTTTCAAACTCAAGGACCCGAGTTAGATCCCCGGTACCTCCTCCGCCCCCAAAAAAACCCCACACTCCTACCCACTCTCATAGCTAAATTATGCTTAAGCCCAACGGTGGTGAGGGAGCCCACCTGGGAAGGGGAGAAAGGGTGGCTTCGCGGACCGAGAGCCCAGAGAGCACTGCATTTCCAGGCCGGGGACTGGCTACGCCCTCAGCAGCCGTTGGCCGCTGGGGTGCGCGCTGTGAGTTGGGAAATGTAGTCCGGTCGCGCGTGGCGCGGCTGAGAGCTGGCTGGGGTTGTTGGCTGAAAGTGGGCCGCTCCTCAGGGCTCTCTCTCTCACCCCCACCCCCCCTACCCTTCGGACGCACAGATTCGGAACGCTTCGGCCGGATGACTTCCTTCATTGACGCCTGCTCGCACCTCTATTCAGCGAGCGAGGGGACCCGCGGGCGGAGCCGGCGCCGGGACCCCTCGGGGTCGCGGTAGCGGCCGCAGACTTGTCGGACGCGCCTTTGCTGGTCCC